GGAATACACATCGGCACCGATGGTCGGCATCCGGCAGTCTCCGTAAAAGGTCCCCTGGAAATAGCGGCGGAGGATCGACGTCTTTCCCGCGTTCTGGCCGCCCAGGAAGGCGAATTTCGCCTTTTCCATCGCGTCGTCTACTCCGGTGCGGTCCGGTGCGGTGCGGTCCGGTCCAACGAATTCGAGTCTATTCTGTTCTAGTCGAGTCCAATGACGTAGTTCCTTCCTTTCGCCATATCAAAGGTTCGTGGCTTGTCGAACGAGTATGGTATTTTCGTGCGAGAATGGGTTAACATCACAGACACATGTTTCTCGAATGGGATGTGGCTGGTCCGGTTCTTGTTCCTGCAGTTCCTGCGTCGATCCAGCTGCGTGAACACCTTGAATGCGGATTGAATTGTTGTGTTGCACCCGCGCTATGCTATGGACGCTGTCGGTCACACCCCAATCCGAGAGGTACGGTGCGATCCTTTSTCTTCTGCCGGGTTTTCGTTCTCTCGTTCTGTTTGGACGGTTGCACAAGGATGCAGTGTGTGAGCACGATACTGTTTGATCCGGCTGATTGCCGATTTGGTTGCAGCCGTGATCTGACATTGATCTGTTCTTGTTCTTCTTCTTCTTCGGTGCTGGCGATTTTTCATTTTACAACACTTCCTAAGGTACCGTACGGTATGTACGTACGAGTAGTACAGAATATGTGTACGACTGCTAGTCTCATCCATACAGTATTGTACTAGTAAACTGTAACAGCACTTTTTACCCTACGGTACGGTACGTACTGCAACTTTAGGGGCAGGTCTACSACAACTTTTGAGCAGAGGTCATTCAATCAGGCACCCCCGCCCCATCCCATTTATTTGGAGCGGCACAGCATTCCGTCACATCGGTGTGTCTGTGTGTGTGTGTTTGTGCCTTCGGCCCATCGCAATCGCATCCAAAACCAACGCGGTGTTTGTTGTTTGTTCCCCACACGAAAGATGAATATCATACTAATCCTGTAATATTTTTTTCTTCCCCGCGTTTGTTTACCAACCACTGTTCCCTTCCGTTCCAGGCGCATCGCATCGCATCGAACGCAAGCAAGAACACAAGCAAGCAACCCACCAACCATGTCGCCAGCGGCCGCCCCCTCCCGTGAGCCGCGGGCCCCGGCGGTGGAGGTCMTCGGGCCCGGGGAACAACCACCGMACCCCGTGATCCAGACCATCCCCTTTGCGATTCCCCCGCCGCTCCCGGTGGCCTCGCTCCCCTCGACCGGCAGGAACGGAATCGTCGGATCGATCGTCAGAATGGGGAAAAAATCCGCCATGGTGTGGGTCGGGTGGGGCCTGCTGGAAGAGGACGGCGCTCCCGCCTCCGCTTCCAGAGCAGAAACAGCGAAAGAAGCTCACGGCGGGGACCCCTCGTGGTCCGGCTTTGGAACGGGGACCCCGGCGATGGGCCAGCTCGTCCTGGCCATGCCCCGGACCCGCTACGCCGGGGCCTTTTCGCCGCCGGGCGGGGAGGCCCCCTGCTCCCAGCTGGTGGGGAGCGCCTCCTCGGAGGACCAGATGCTCGCCAACCAGATGGCGGCRCGGCTCAGCTCGAGGTCGGGGATGGCAATCTACGTCTCCTGCCGGCTCTCCTCGCTCGAGGGCCTGGGSGGATCCCCCGGCCCCGAGGCGGACACCCTCTGCCAGCGCGCCGCGGCCCTGGCGGAGAGAGAGGCCTGGAAGATCCTCCGGGAACAGCAGCAGCAGCAGTAGAGACAGCGGGGGGGACGGAGACCGCGGCGACGGGAGGAACCAAAAAAGGGCAAGGCGTGTCGCGCGGGCCTCGCCAGAGGCAGGAGAGCGCAACCGACCCGCGGAGAAGCCGGAAAGGCGGCGTCCGTCGCCGGCACCGGAGGCCGTGCACCTCCATTGTACGAAACCACGAACGGGAACCAACGCAACGACGAAACGCGGCCAACACTGTTGTTGGCAAACACCACCGATGGCGATGCCTACGAGACGCACTATGGATCGTTTCTCGTCCAACCCACGGCGAAACCTTTGGCTCTCTTGCGGTCAAACCAAAAAMGAAAAAAGTCCCATGTAAATCACAACCCTCGTAAACCGGCATGTTTTATAGTAGTAAAGTATCCTCTGTGGTCCCCTACTTGGGTGGAAGCTAGAGCCATAAACCTATTTCGCCGGTATTTCATTTTCGCCCTGTGTCGCATCGATTGCTGCAATATAGACGATTCTCGTTACTCTAGTTGTCATGTATTGTCTCCATTCCTTCGTGAGGCTTTTCATGTGATTTCTTCGTTCCGGGAGGAAATAGAATGCACCCCCGAATCCTCATCGAATTGCAGAATGTTTCGTATTGTATCCATTGGAGGTATAGCAAGGACATCCCGTGATGTATTATGTGAGCCGACTGTCAAACGCCTGTTCTTGTTTTCATCGGTACGCTCGTCACGATCCTGGCTTGGAAGTGACATTCTCCTTGTCTTTCGACGAACTCGATTCTTTGGCGGGAGGCACGGCCGGGGGGTAGTGCGACACATAGTGCTGCTGGTAACGAGGACGATGGCTTTGACTCGTTGTCGTTGCCGTTGCTGTAGCTGCTCCGCTTCCCGTCTCTTGTTGCTGGTCCATCAGAGCGTCAAAGCTGGTTGCCTGCTGTGCCATCATGTGGTGGTGGGTAGCGTCGACCCCGGACGGAACCAACAACGAGGGATGGTGCCCCGACGGAGGCAGGGAATACACAGAACCACCAAGGAATGGTGGCTGTTGCTGCTGCTGCGACATGGCATAGTAGGAGGGCTGGGGTGGGTAGGGCATGTACGACATGTGCTGCTTGGAATCCGAACCCTGGGCCGCACTCAGGTAGGTGGGTGCAAACGACGTTGCTTCCGGGTTCATTTTTCCGATCTGGTAGCCAGACATCACGCCCAGGGACGGATACCCCGCCGTGGCGGGATGCGCCATGCCCTGGGGAGCATCCTGCTGCATCCGGGAATGGCCCTCCATCTTTGGCAGTTGCGAGTAGTGCTCCGGATTYGGTACCAGCACGGGGCTGTTTCCGAYCTCGGACCCATCGAAACTGGGATCTACGTTGACAAGCATCGGGGACGTCTGCTGCGGCGGTGGCTGTTGCGGAACCTGGCCCACCGCTCGGTTCTGTTCCCTGCTGTACAGYTGTTGCAACTGTCGCTGTTGCATCTCGTATTGCTGGTGCAGGGCAAACTGGACCGATGCAACGTCTTGGTGCTGCTGGGGCTGGGAGTGCGCCCGCGTGTGTGGGTGGTGTGCGTATTGTGCGTGGGGTGGATAGTGCTGTCGCATGTGTCCGCCTTGTTCACCGTAAGCGTGGTACCCCTGCATYCCGCGATACATCATCGGATCGGAACGAAGGGGCTGGCTCTTGTCCGTTTTCGTTCCTCCGTACTGGGGGTTTCTGTTCTGGCGCCGTTGTTCACCGGTGGACGATCTGTTGCCCCTTCTCGAACCTTGCTGCTGGTTTTTGGCACCAGATTTGCCCTGCATGCTCGAGGCAGAAGACGYCATGGGAGAAGAAGCGGAAGATCCACTCGTTCTTGTTTCCAGCGAGGATTTTTTCCCTTGCCTGCCACCGGAAGTGGTAGTGGTAGTAGAATTAGCGTATGCCATGGAATCTGTGTGCTCCTTTTCTGATATTTCACTCGCCACGACACTCAGATCGATGAGGGAAAAATTTCGATCCGAGTTCATAGCGGATGGGGGCGGCGGCGTGCTCGAAACATTGTCGGGATATTCAGTGAGCTTTCCCCATTTCGTCACTGCTAAACGAATGTGTTTCCCTTGGTACAGTTCGAGGGTACAGTTTCGCATMACAACTGCTCCCGGTTTCCCCTCGCTGCGGACTTTCTCGAGCAAGTCGATTTGTTGGTCTCGAGCTCGAAAGGATACCGTGCCCGTTTCATCACCAATTTCAACCTCGGCAAGCCGAACACGTGATTGATCCACTCGTCTCTTATCCACAACCAAATTGATATTCCCCACAAGACTGTCAGTGTTAGAACGAAACAGCAGTTGTGAAAAAAGTGAGGAAATTAGTACCCAGGAATCGTGCATTGACTATCAAGTACACTAGGAATGCCAACAAGATGAAGGAAACCTATACGAAGTATAGAAGATAATATTACAACTTACACACAAAGATTGAATCCTCCCCGAGGGGGCTGTAGCCGCTTCTGTGGAGCTATAGGTCCAAGCGTGTCTTCTATGTCGGGGTCTTCCTCGGGAGCAGAAACGCCATCACTACTGTCATCGCTCCTGTAATCACTCCTCCCGGTCCCGATTCGATCTTTTCCAGCACCCGTAGCGGCAGCTGTTGAAGACATCGCACGAAGCTTGGTTCTCTTTTCGTTGACTCTCGAGATTTCTTTCTCRAGCTGAGCATGGTCGATGTTATAGGCACTGATTAGGTCCGAAACATGGACATAAGTTGCTCGGCGCAACGGTTGCTGCGGCGTGTACTGAGAGGTCGACGGTGTGGTAGGGGGAGCCATTGGGTACTATTCGTTCGACTACGTCCGTCATGGGCTGSTGTAGACTCTAACCTCTGCGCTGTAGCGCAATACTATTGATAACAAGCTGCAAGCCAGCGTTTTCTTTCCGGTAAATAGTGATTCGTAGGTTTTTGTGCACCTAATATCTGATATCGTTGTTCTAACCTGTTCTTCCTGTAACAATCCATGGACTRCTCTGCACTGCTTTGCACCCTTCACTGCTCCACTCCACCTTACGCGAACTATAAAACGAGACAAACATTCAAAGGGGATGTATCTATGGTGATACCCTTTGGTCCTGGTGATATGTCAAAATACTTAGTCCAAGGCACGCATGTTACCGTACGGTACCGTAGAGATCGACTGCGAAGTCGGACAACCGATCCGTAGCAAGTTGCTTTCGGAGTCAACGTTGCAACTCAGGCTTTCGAAAGGACCAATCGTAGGTCTTGCTATCGATTGGCGGCCTGCGGTCGGAAAGCTTGAAGCGTGCTGTGCAAGACTAGCACAAGCAGTAAAAGAGAGAAACAAAATGCAAAATCGAAWTCCCACAGATTGAACATGTTTGATTCCATAGATACCTTTCTTGTTATTTTTTTWAAAATCTTCAACAGTTGAAGTACATTCATTCACGAGTTTTGAGTCCTGAAACGCGCGCCAAATCAAGGATTTTGCCGAGGATGTGAAATACTCCCCTTCTTTCTGGCTGGGCATGGGGCACTCCGCTCCGGAACCCCACGAAGGGTAGTACTACTCCAACTCCTACTCGTACCGTACGTTAATCTTATTCCTAACGTGCGCTGAAATAGTCACGTATGGTTCCGTACAGTATACCTACGAGTATCAACTTTGAACAAACAAACTTCGGGGGCCATTTTTTAAGGACGGGGGGTTACAATGAAATAAGYCTCTTTATGTGGGGGAGATTAAAGACAACCCCGCTTGTGGGTTCAAAAAAACACCAAACCCCTAAAACAATCCACGAATAAGCCATTAATAACCCGAAAAGTACGAGTACGAGTACAATACCGTAACGTACCAGTACGTACCGGTAGATCGATTGAAATAAAAATGTCGTCTTGTTGTGAAGAGAAAGTCTGAACTGGAGCGAACACGGATCCTTGAGCACTTGTACTCGTATGTGTACTACTAGTAACTTGTACTCGGACTGTTGCTACTGTAAATCTAAAATCAATCAGTTCCGTTGTGCAACGCACTGCAGAGTAACAATACAGGTACCGACGTGGTGTTTTCTTCATACGGTATGAATAATGTATTTCGAAGGAATAAGGCGGTGGTAACCAATGCGTCGACATGTTGTTCGCTGCACACGATCCGGGCCTCCATGGGTCGGATGGAACCGAAAGTACCGTCTCGGCGTATTGCTCCGTGCCTACCTCAAAGATCAATGGCGTCCTGGCCCAAGGTTCGACCCAAACGAATCCGAATGATAACATTCGACATCACCGGAACCCTGGTCTCGTTCCGAGGGTCGCTTGAGGAGCATTATCTCGGTGCTGCCACAAAACACGGTGTCAAGAACGTCGACAGCAGCCAGTTTGCAAGTGCGTTTGGAAGAGCCTACAAGGAAACGTCAAAACTTCACCCGTGTTTCGGGGGGGAAGACATGACCGCTAARGATTGGTGGAGAATATGTGTTTTGAAGTCCTTTAAATATGCGGGTGCGACTATGGATGATTATACTTCGGAAATGGTGTTTCAACGAATATACAGCACGTTTGGTAGCAGCAATGCATATGAAATTTTCCCGGACGCCCTTCCCTTTCTCAACTGGGCCCATCGCAATGGTTTAGTCTGTGGAGTCCTGAGCAATGCCGATGAGCGCTATGGAGATTCTATTTTACCGATGCTAGGGCTGACTCACGACGAATTGCAGTTTCAATGCTACAGCAAAGACCTAGGGATCGAAAAACCCGACCCGCGCGCATTTGTGGCAGCGATGCACAGAGGGGAACCCCTCTTGCCCGACTCGAGAGAACCATTGGAACCGAGCAATGTATTTCACATTGGCAACGATTTCCAGAAGGATTTTCAGGGAGCTCGCCGTGTTGGAATGCACGCAGCTCTGTTGGATCGTTACCAAGAAACCGAGCTTGCCAGCGAATGGAGACGTCGAGGGGTACCGGTCTTTACTGATTTACTAGATGTCGTCGAATTTCTAGGCCGCAGCGATTGTATTTTAGGGTGAACAGAAAGAAACACTTTCGTAGAATTGTAATAGCGCCGCTTCAAATCAAAGAATGGCTTTATGCATTTTTGCCGAGCAGAGATTAGCAAAACTTTTTTTTTGTTCTAATGGTAGGAGAGCGGSAATGGTGCTTTAGCGCGACGAAGAAAGTCGAAGTGCTTCTTCAATTCGCTAGGGKTCTTTTCTCTCGCAGCGCTCTTGGTCGCAGACTGTCGAATGTTTGAACTCGTAATTCACAGTTCGAAAATTTCTCTCCAGATGTCAACCAATCAATCACACCTGCATGACAAACAATCGCGATGCAATTTTCTTTTCTCGACTCCAGCCAGTAGTAAAAGTCAGTCATGCGGCGATCGAAGTATTCCGATGGTTCTCCAAAACACGCGTACACTTGACCTTGACCGTTGGGCCGCCACTCTTCATAACAATCTGCTATACTATCCGATACCTGAAAATGCCATGCATCAAGGGAATCTTTTGCATCGCAAGACGATTGAATTCCACAATTGTGACTGTACGCGAACGCAGTATCGAAATCAATAGACGGGTGTCGAAGCCTAAGTTCCGACCTAGGCTTACCGAGGTCAGAAACGAGGTACAGTCGTTCGGCCGCTGCTGCCATTGCTAAAACTCGCRCACCTGGTTGGTCGTCTTCTCTACTATCGATGTGCTCCTTTAGTGACATTTCGAACGTTTCTAGCGCTCTAGTTAACGGACTAACTACAACCAGGTCAAGATCATGCAAGAAGTCGGTGTCGGTAAAAGTGCTGATGTTTTCATGCCGTGGAGCGCCGAGCTTTCGGACCATTCCCAGAGCATCGGGGTCACTCGCTTTGTTGTGTTTAAGATCTCTGAGCAAAYAGTTCAACGATTTGGCTTGTTCCACTCCTACATCGGATAGAGGCGAATCGTGATATTTCTTCTGCTCCTCTTCTGAAAAAACATCGGTAAAATTTGGTTGACCGAAGCTGACCCCTCCTCCGCCGATGTATTCGTTCATATATGTCCGGCCGTGTCGGATCAAGACAATTTTTTTTGAAGAGGCCTGACTTGAATACGGATGAYCCGTCGGAATTTTTTCCTCATTTGCAAAACTGTCCTTTTCTTTCAGCAACGACAAGGCCATGGGAAGATCTAATTTTCTTGTTGCGATTCCTCTTCCACGAAAGGAAGCWATTTTCTGAACACACAGTGCATCAAATTCTGTTACCAACAGGGCGAAAAAAAAGGCAAAATGCAGATTCATGTACAATACAAGGCTCCCAACCTTTAGCGAGGTTTGTCGAGGATTATGGTTGAAACAGCAGAACAGAAATGATGATGTTGTAGCTCGTGATGGAAAATAGATCWGAGATACGGTACGGTAGAAAAACAGAAAATTGAGGAGAAAGCTAGCGACCGTTAGAGTTTTTAATAATGACACCAATGTCTCATACTGTTCGTACCGTACGTATGCGCACTTTACGATACCAGGAGTTCGAATGCGATTGATTCATTCATTCACTTTTAACATACAGGGCTCACACCGATACCTCTACACTTTACTTCGAAAGTGTTGTTCKTACTTCCGTTGTGATTGCCGTGATTGTAAAAACATGATGGAACTCACTCCCAGCCAGAAAGTCGTCGCGTCCGTCATTGCCTACTCGTTTTGTTCCGGTACTCTCGTTCTCGTGAACAAATTGACGCTGCATTTCCTGCCGTTTCCGTCACTGGTAGTTTCCTTCCAGCTATTGGTATGCATTGCCCTAATCTATTTTGCTAAATTCGCAAGAATCCTCCAAGTTGATGACCTCGAATGGAAAYATGTCAAGCCATATCTACTTTACATTGTCTTCTTCAGCACTGGGGTATATGCCAACATGAGATCCCTCAGCAATGCAAACGTCGAAACGGTCATAGTCTTCCGAGCATTGTCGCCGATGCTTGTTGCCTTTCTAGACGCCCTATTTCTKGGAAGGGAGTGGCCGTCCTATAGATCTTGGGCGGGCCTCCTTACTCTGACCGCCGGTGCCTACGGGTACGCTTCCTTTGACGAACAGTTTCAAACGCAAGGTTTGAGCGCATACTTATGGCCAACATTCTATTGCATCGTAATTGCGTTGGAGATGGTGAGTTACGATTTCTTTTCAATATACCTGCTCTTGTCAATTATAGTTGGAAAWACCACTAGMCCACGCAATTTTTATGTCAGATACTCAACATGTTGTTACAAATACAATCATCGTGAATTCTTGTTCCAGGCATACGGGAAAAAAATTGTCAAAAGCGTTCCCCTAAAAACTCAGAGTGGACCCGTGATTTATACAAATTTAATTGGCTTTATTCCGATGCTAATTCTTGCCAATGTTGGCAATGAATACCAGAAATTCTGGGAATTTTACTGGACGGTTGGTGCCGGACGCCTCCCTCTTGCCGCAACAGCGTTGCTGTTCTTGGGGAGCTTCATTGGAACAGGTATCGGTTACAGCAGTTGGTGGTGTCGAGGCCTCATCTCTGCTACGAGTTTCACCTTGATTGGTGGTGAGTATTCATTRTCACGATGTTATCAACGGCATGCTTAATCATTTTCTGACACAATCATCCTTTTTCAAAATCCCAGTCATGAATAAGTGCTTAACAGTACTCCTGAATTCGTTGATTTGGGATGAGCATGCAAAACCCGGAGGTATTTTCTGTCTGTTTGTTTGCATCGCTGGTGGAATGATTTACCAGCAGGCACCGATGCGGTCAGAACAAAAGGTGGTATTGCCCGTAAACAATACAGAAGCCATTGAAAGGGAAAAGATGATAAAATGAGCGACCTTATCTTCCTCTCTGCCGAAAATGGAGATAAAGAGACTTGTTGAAGAAGATGAAAATATAATCCTTTGGGAAAGACGAGTCGAATCGTTGACTGATTTTGTTTCCAACCATGTTCATCGTAGAATTGAAACATAATTTTCGGGAAAAATATTATCCGGACAGAATTTTTAATGATTTTTGATCCCATCCAGACGCATATGATCCCTTGTATCGATCAAATATTCTTATTGTTGTTGCCGTTGTGTTGTAAATCARTGGTGATGATTTGTTAGCAATTGTCAGTCGTTCAGAAGACCACGATTGCGTACGAAAGCCTGATAGCATTGAGTTCTAGAATACTTACCGAATCAATTCGCGACAATACTGTTGATGCATTAGATCGGCTCTCTGGTTTATGATATCTTTAGAACTATAACCTGTTRATCCAACYAGCTCTTGTGATGGTGGATGTACTGGTTTGCCCATTACGTAAAGCAAACGCTGCCGAAACGGTATCGGAAGTCCCCATTTACCTGTCAAGCAGCAAAGAATAGCCCTGTTAGTGATTCCATGGAATTCAATGTACTTTCGGTGCAATCCATATCCCTTCTTACCAAAAAATACCACAAGGCTGACACGCAACATCAGGCTGAGTTTCTCAATTAAAAAAGGAAGCTTCAACCGTTTCAGAAGCATAGAGCTACCGAAACAATATGTAGGGATGATTGGRACTTGGTGCTTGACTGCCATACGGAATATTCCTTTTCCAATGATAGCGTATTCGTTCTCTGGTTCGGGATCTAGAAACATTTCAGCGATCCCCCCTGGCATGCCATGCCCAACAAAAAGATGATASGAGAAAAGATACATGTTTGAAAGGTGTCGAAACGCATCAGAAATGAAGAACCTTGTTTTAGAGRTGGCTTAGCCTTTGGCGAGATAGAGGGACAGAGATACAAACGAAGTTGTGGTAGATTACGTRAAAAACAATACGTACCGGGCGCTAATCCCAAGCGGTCTCCATCTGACAGAGCTTTGTCTACCGAGGACTTAGATGCATCGCACGCTCTCACCCATCTCAAAACATCTCTGACCCACGGTATGAGCTGGGTCGCAGTCGCGATCACGGCTCGAAAGGAACCGAACGCTTCGGAAGCTTTGTCGCTCAGGGCGGCAAATGCCAATCCAAATGGAAATATCCCGTGCGGAGATATGCCCAGAATAGATTGCCTATGAATGAGGTCTTCGATCGAGCCATATTCGTCTGCAACGACCTCAAAGGCAATAAATCGCATCCAAGACTTCCACAAGCTCCATTGATGAACTTTCACAAAACGACCAACTCTAGGGTTTCTGTGTGGTCCGACTGCAAAAATCGTCGTTGCGGAAAGTAGCAAAGCTGCATATAGGGCCCGTTTCTTTTTCTGCTCGGGGGGGATGCGTCGAATCCGTTTTACCAACCAAGCATATACTGCTGGGACCCAAAATACTCCTCCCACAAAAAACAAAGAAGAAAATGCAACGACAAATCGATCGTAATTYGTCAACGCGTCAGGGGAGAAGCGGACTAGCACCTTGCTTCCGGTCGGATGGAGGGGGTAAATCGAAGAGCGATTATTGTTGAATGGATTGCCTCGAGACTTTTCTAGTGGTGTTGCTGTTTTCCCCTTCATTGTCACTGCTGTGAGACCTTCCCATTTCTGCCTTTTAGCCTGACCAATATTGTCTTTTTCTTATCACAGAAGATCAGTGGTGAAGGTAATTCATTCCAGCAATTTGTTTGTGTGGATGAATATTGCATATTGCTGTATTTAATGAACTACTGTAGTACTACTTGGTAGAATTTTTTTCCCTAAAGAATATGAGTACTCAGAGTACGTTGCCATGCCTCCGAACGGTCCCTACGTACTCGTACTGGTACTAGTGAACCCRTTATCAACTTATCAATCCTCAGCTGGATTCAATGAAAAAATACCTGCATCAATCAATTGATTTCCCCCAAAAGATAATTGATCAACCCCTCTACCGATTGTTGTACGATACGGTACGAATCAGCTTGATCATTCGAAGTTGTCTGGAGGTTGGAGACGASACGAGAATGGCTAGAAATTGTGAGTTGTACTCAACAGGTACGGTATCGTACTGTACGGTAAGTACGAGTACCTTTAACGTACACCGTAAGCCGTAAGTCCTCACATCTAGCCTCGTACTGTATGCTTTGTACGTACGATACGAGGATAAATGCAATTTAAGAATTCAAAAAATGTGTCGTCAGTCGTCACGGCCTATCTTTGAGCTCTGTGCAGTCAGGCATACTTGTTTTCGTAGCTAGTGTGCACAAGTATGCCGTTATTTTTTTTTTTGAAAAGCGATGCCTCTTTTCTCTCTTAATTATTTTACTCTTTTCTTCGGCAGTGACCAAAAAAATCATTCTACAAGAGTGCCACTTCGTGAAATATTCTTCCCTGTAGGAAAAGTACAGTTAACTAATACTCGTAGCACTATGATAGTACCTGTACGTATTGTACMTCCCTCCGGAAGTAGTCGGCATCAGCAGCAGTACAAACTACGAATACTGGTACTCAGACTCTTCTGTCACTGCGAGCCAGTGACACTCTATGTCTCTAATCGGTATGTCTCTCTAATCGGAGTTATTACCGTACCGTACGGTATGTCTCTCTCAACAAGAGCAAATTTTAGACGCATCGAGCAATCGTAACGAATGCTTCTTCTTGTTCTCAACAAACGAAGAGCAACATTTTTATCACGATTACGCACTCGTAGCCGCACCATTATAAATCTATCGTGGCSTACGGTGCCATCCCTTGGGTCCAACGAATAGACATTTCGACTCAAACGCGAGGTGGAGCGTTCGCATTGCAAAAGACAATACTCTAGCACAAACGGAACTATGGTGGAAGAACACGGAGCATTGACGGTCGCCGATTTGTGCAGCACAAGCAACGAAAGCAGCTCGTATACTTACGGGTCAAGATATGAATCAGACGACCACAGCAGTACCATCGATTGTATCGATGACGATAGTTTCTTGGCCAACAACAGTCTTTGCAAGCAGCACAGATCTTCGTTAAAAATGCTGGATTCTCTCCGAAAAGAGGTCGTCCAAATGATCAGAAGCGACGGCAAAAACCCATATGGAACACCGGCTGCGTCGCCGCGAGACGTGATGATCGATCTCACCAAAACCAACGCTGGAGATTTTTCGTCCCCGCTTGGCTCGCCCGTTAACTCGCGACGAAACACAAAGCTTTCGCCTGGTCTGGTGACGCCTCTGTCCATCCCGTCGCTGAGCAACACGGAAAATACGACGCGCTGCCAGAGTTTAGTTACCAACCACGGCCAAAASGACGATTACACCTTTTGCTCGATGGACGATTCGATAAACCAGGAAATGAATSTCTTGAAGGAGGTCGCAACGGAGCTGGAAAAAGAACTGAGAGAAACGAATATCAACACGGTGTTCGAAGCGATCGAGAGAATAGGCGAGTCAAACAATCCCGAAATTAAGAGTGTGCTCATGTCCGAAGACAGAGATGTAATTCGAGAGGGCATCCGCAACGAGTTACAGAAAGAAGAAGAATTCTTGTACGCACAGGATTCCGTGAAGCCATTTCACGTTCACCTTATGGAATTCGTCGAAAGTTTTGAGGGTGGCTCGATGAACATCAAGGTTTTGGCCGTGGCTATTGCGTTTAGTTTGATACGCAATTGGATCTTAGGTTGGTGAGAATCAAGAAGCAGAGCCGTTGCATTTACTCATGGTGATACGCACCATGAGGGCAATCATAATCTGTACTTTTAGTTTTGTATTATAATACTGTTCATGAAACGACACTTTTTCATCGTGATTGTAATGAAGGTTTCTTTGTTCGATCGTACCAATTTGGAAATGCCTCAAACATTCCTGTGTAACAACCCAATTTTAGTTTCGCGTTCTATTCTTCGAATTTAGACGTATRGCCTCCACCCTAGTCCTTGTCTCGCTTGCTCCCGGGTCGACTATGGACTGTTTTGGCCATGACTGGAAAAATACTGCAGTGAACAGCATCGCGCTGCTCGGGGAATGAAGCATAAGAATGCCGTCGTTTTTTACCGCAATGGAAATTGTTGCCAAGAAGATTGGTTGACGGCGATATTTCGGAATAGCGATCAAATSAAGCGAATTACAAACCCTGATTTRTCCGAAATTTGACTCCRAAGAGTAAAGTAGCATCAAACTATTCTCTCCTATCCGTCTTTCTCTCTCTAAAATGTCAYGGTTGTGAAGCCTCTATCCGCATCTTTTTTGACGTCGGCTCGGCTGGACCGTCGGTCGCTTGTTCTTGYTGTTCATCTGACRTTTTATTGTCTTCACTTCCGACGATTTTTCGTTTCTGAGAYCCAGTGGAGGAGGAAGGGTCGCAATCATTGCCTTCTCCTTTACCCACAGCTTCCTGTTTGTTTAAACCAGCCTGGATCTCGGCGCCCAGCATTTTTAGAGCTATTTTTCTTCGTTTTAGGCCGGCCAGCTGACCCAGAGCTTCCTTGACGAGACCTCTCGAAAAGCAGTCTAGCAATGTTTTCATTTTTTAATTCATCATCGACCACACGACGCAGGAAGGGGYAAAGAMCGAATCACAAAACCACARTTAGTGCAACCTTAGTCTCAATCATCACATCATTGTTTCGACGAATGCCAGTATAGTATCGTTTTTCTTGCGCGAAAGCCTTCGCCTATTATTTGTGCCTGTCCTAGTTTTGCTTACCGGGATTCAACCCATTTCCGTGATCGAGCAAATCCAATAGATTGATGGGCACCTTGCATTCTTGGAGGGATTTCTTCAGCGCGGCGTCTGCCTGGATCACGCCCTCTACTTCCTGCAGGGCTTTCACCACCTCCAGCACGGCCGTTATGAGCTTGGTCGTGGTTTTCACGTGAGTGGATGCGTCGTCGCCTTCGCTGTCGGGCCACGTTTTGATCAGATCCGTCGTCTTCGCGAGGCGCGTCAGCAAGATGTGGAGGCGCTCCTGCAGGGCCTTGGCTCCGGACGGCGGAGGGAGAGCCGGTCTGGTGTTTCTTGGAACGGGCGATGYTGGTCGGCGCATTTTCGAGGCAGTCCTGTGGATCGGTGGATGTGCTTCGATGTCATTCAACTGTGGGCAATCGTATTATATCTTTGAAGTCTCAAGATGTTCCGAACTATTTTATCCGATCAAGCAGAACTACGAGTGGTAATCTGTGAGTATGCTTCGTTGTGTCGTCGTTGCTTGTACAGCGTTCGTTTATTCGTGTCCTTCCGTTACTACCTAGTACCTTAAGTCGTAATACTGAGTACCTCGTACGAGTAATTGTACCTCCCTCCCAACTCCCAATAACCTGTGAAATGTACGTGTGCTCTTTAGTGCCGTATAACTACGTGTTTACAATAAAGAGTGAGGTTATTCACTAGCTACTCGTGATCCAGCTATATCCTCACACCCTTAAGATTTTTTAGGACTTGATTTGATGGCGAGCAGCATTTACGGTACTTACTAGACAAGTACAAACAGTGTGACAAGAATACTCGTAATCGTGCTGTACTACTTCTACTAGTTTCTATCTCCC